ACTAACCCTTTAGGAGGGAGATATAGTCTACCTACTTTAATATACTTAAGGAGAAAAATAAGCTAATATTAAAATAAATAGGCTAAGTAATAAGCTAGACTATAAAAAAGTCGGGCTTTATAAGATTTTAAAGAAAATTAGTAAAGTTAACTATAAACTAAACCTCCTAAAGCAACCAAGTAAACAAAGAAAACCAGTATACCTAATTTTTTACATCTCACTATTAGAAAAAGCACTAATAAATAAAAATACGGGAGAACTTATTAAAAATAAAATTATTATTAAAAGCAAAGAACTTAAATATAAGGTTAATAAAATAATATTACTAAAAATAAACAAAGTAACCAGTAAACTCTAATACCTAGTAAAATAAAAAGGATACAACAGGGACGTAAACAGCTAGGAACCAGAAAGTAATTTCAAATACACTAGTACTACTTTAAAAACCTTCTAAAACAAACTCCATAAACAATTACAAGTATAATAAAAACTAATATAGGAAGAACCTAAACAACCTGTAAAACTACCTAGGATAGTAATAAGGGAATACCCCCTATTAAGGTAAGAAGATCGGGATCTAAGGACCCTAAATTAACGTTAGAAAAGAAATTAATATTAACAGCCTCCAGACCTAAAGTTACGGAATTAGTAGGATTAGGTAATAATATTTTAGCCTAACGTAAGGCCTCCGCTTTCGTATACTTAACCCTATCCAACTTATCTAAGTTATTAATACCCCGCACAACAGCACATATTATCTTTCAATACCATCGTTTCTTCTCCTTACAAAGGCGTTTAACCTTTACACTAGCTAGATAAAGATATTTAAGCTCTTATTTATGCTCTTCTTCAGCCGCTTTAATTACTACTTCTAACTTAATATATTAAGCAGCTACCTTATGAAACTGCACAGGAGAAAGTTATTTAGCATTATAAAGGGATTTTTAACTAATAATATAAACTAAATAACAAGAGGATTTACCCTCTAAGAAAAAAACACTCCGTACCTAAGGATTCATAAGCAGAATATTTATTTATTTTAACTAAGTAAGATAATATTAATAAGTAAAGATTACTATACTACTCTTGCTTATTAGTTTTACGCTCCTTAGATTTAGTTAGTATAATTACGATAATTAGATACTAAGTAAATAAAGAATAAAAAAACTAGGTAAGGACTTATAAGAAGGGAAGTAGGTTACTTATACTATAAGGAGCAAGGTCTTAAGGATAAGACTAACGGAAGGGAGACATTATATTATAACCTAACACTTATAATCGCAATAATAGGCCAACCAACCAGGTGCGACCGGATTAACTATAATCTAAGTAACTAATTAAGCCCCGCTCGTCTTACTTATTTAACAAGCTTAGCAAGCTTATACTCTTTATGCTCGTCTTATAAGCTATATAAGCCCAGAACTAACTAAATATATAAATTCACTTTATAACACTCATTAAAATAGTTTAGATAGCCAGTTATAAATATAGAACAACGCTTAATTATACCTATAAGGTATTATCTACTAGTTATGTAAACAAACCCCTTTTATCCTTATTAATTGCCTACCAGTCCAGCCTGGCCTATCCGCCAACATAAACCTAGCATAAGGTTTATCCCTTGGGAATTCCTCTTATACTAACACTATAGGAGCTCAGCTTGTTACACTATTATATACTATAACTTTAAAAAAACTATAGTATATAGTCCTTTTATTAACGTAAAGGTTTATAATACTAAGGTAGTAGGTACTTTTAAAGTTATAAAGCTAATTAAAATATATACTTTTATAGACCTAAATATTTAAGAGATTTTACTTTTCCTAAATAACTTAGTAGTAGTAGATAAAATACTAGGGTTAACTTCCGCCTTATCTTAAGGAGCTTATATAAGGCTATGTTAAATTACCTAGAGACTACTTTTATAAGTAATTATAAAGGTAGCCTAGGTCCTAGGTTATAAAAATATATTAGAAAATAAAAAAGCTAACTAACTAGTAAAAGAGGGTTTAAAACTCCTTTACTACTTAAGTAACTATTTTACTATTACTTTTATTAAAAGGTAGGTAAAAAAGAAATATAAGGAAATATAAGATAATAACTAAAATAATAACTACCTAGAGCCCTATAAGGCCAGTAAATAAGGCCTTTATAAAGCCCCCTTTATACCCCTAGAGTTATATCTTCTATACCTAATCCTATATAAGCTACTAGCTAAAAGGTTTAAATATAAGGACTTTATAAAATACTATAAAAGATTTAAATATAACACTAGGCCTATTTATAAATATAGGGAATTAAGGATATAAAGGTACTTTATAAAGTATTATATAATAGCCCCTTTCTTCCCTAATATATTAAAGAGGGAGGCGTACTTTAAAACTACCTATATCTAATACCTCCTTAGTAATAGGGGGTATAAAGACTTTTAGAAATTAGTAGAGGAAATAAGCCTATATAACCCCCCCCCTATAGAAATAAATATATAAAATAGATTAATACTTCCCCTTTTCCTTTATTACATTAAAACATAGCGAACGCCTAATCTAAACTCGGCAGCTCCTACCGTCCTAGTACCTAGATAAGGACTTATATAACTAGATTACTTAGTGGACGTTAATAATAAAACAAATAAATAAACAAACTAGCAGAGAGTAGATACTTAGCTTTTTGAAGTGTCTGCTACTGCTACTGCTTTCAGCTACTATAGATACTTCATTCTCGTGTCTGCTACTATAGCCATATTTCGCCATTGTCTGCTACTATAGCTATATTTCTCTAGTTTCTGGTATTATCATTTGCGATTCATGTGGTTTTAAATCTAAGCCTTGGAATGCCTAATGGTAGACTTGTGGTGCTGGCTTGTCTTTCCTATATATGCAAAAGCACTTTATATATGTATCTATTATTCAATCATTCTGACCTTGTCATTACGCCCTTCAGTGCTCTTTGTTCTATCCGAATCTGCTGCAACGAGATGGGTCGAATGACCTGGCCTGAAAGCATAAGGTAGCCAATTGCGTCTCCGTGGGATTTAATAGTAGCTTCATCTAGTAGTTCCTGAGTTAGATCAAGTCTCCAACCATGGCGCTGTTGTACGAAAGCTTCCCAAGCCCGGATTACGGACGGTTCCATGATAAATTCCCAGGTGCCTCTCCAAGTAATTCTAGCTTGCTGTATATCGTGAAACACCTGGTACTTAAAGAGCGCCGCGACGCCCTTTCGTCCGTTCCAAATCTCCATTGTCTTCAGTTTTGGCATCTTTGTAGCCACTGCTGCTGCGGCCTGAAGCATAGCTCCAATCTCGATTGGACTTTTTTCTGGTGCAAGTAACTTTGAAGTCAGCACGAGTGAAGTCAGGTTTGGCCATTCCCAAGAGGGTTCGATGTTGAAGAAGTGGTTAGCATCTACGATAAATGATGCTGCGAGATGCTCAAGCTTAAGGCTGGTGAGCGCGACTATCCGGCTAACAGCAGGGGCTGGTTTCCGAATAATGTCGCACCCAGATACTTCAACCCCGAATGGGAATCGTTGCATATGCATAGGATACTGTTGATTAATATTCTCGAAAACCACAAGTCTTTTAAGATTGCCGTTGAAACGTCGGATAGACTCAAAAAGATATGGATACTCTGAATGCGAGATGCGGATTATTAGCAGTCTTGTACCTAGCCAGATGATCTCGAGCAATAATTCGGGTATGTAGCCACACTCACGTCTATCTGTAAGCCCCTGCTTAAAATTCCATTCCCTCCAGGGCTCATAGTGGACTTCTTGAAGTCTGGGAAAACGGGCAAACATATGTGCAAGCGATTTCGGCTTCCATCTACGGCGGTTCTGTTGCCGCAGAAGCAAAGTCACTACCGCAGGAACCGATGGAAGCCGATCCCACCAGTGTAGCTCCGACTGATCACTATCAAACGGCCCTTCTTTCCATGATTGGATGAAAAGATTTGAGAAGCACCCTTCGAGGTGGAGGGTGGTATGAACCACCAAAAACCCATCCATGTCTAGGGTCATGATGGACTGGTTTTTTTGATACCATATGCTGTATGTTACGCCGACCGTCTAGCGTATCTAAAGCAGTATCGGGCATAAAGGTCAGATACTTAAAGAAATGTTTTGAGTCACTAGGCGAATAGACACTAATATCGAGTATCAAATTGGCGGTAAGATCCCATGTGCTGAGAATGGAGAAGAGAGTATGGAATGACGTGGTAATAGGGCAGTGATCTGTGTCGCTGATAGCGAGTGCTTCGTCAAATTCCGCGCCTGCATTGCCTGGCCAGCACCAAGTGCAATCATATTCATCAAGTTCCAAGCAGAACCAAATACAGGCAACAAAGGCCCGATTGCGACGAATCATCGAATTGAAGTCAGCGAGGCGCGATGGTGTTAGTTTGATTCGAGCAAAGTTATGTCGCTCAAGCTCTATCTGCCACTCTCTAGACACTGTGGCCAAGGGACTCAGTCTGCAGCCGTCTTGCGCAAGGGCTTTGAAGATGAGAAGTCGAATTTCTGTCGGCAAGCCGTTCCAAGTTGAATCCCATTGTCTGTTGCTTAGTGATATTGAAGACATGACGTGATAGACCGAGAGCGGTGATAGGTGTGGTAATGGGGCAATGTAGGAATATGAGTTAGAGAATCTAAGATGTGAATGTATGCAATAGTTGTAAAAGAAGAGAACTTCAGTTACTACCTACCATACAGGTAGAATGACAGGAAATGGTAAGATTTATCATCTGTCTGTGAAACCCCTCCCCGACTGTTGGTTCAATCCTGGTGGAAAGTTATATATGATGTGGCAAGCTTAAACATTGGCCCAGCTAAGCGCCACTGAGTTTATCGATGGCCCGCGAGCCCCATTGTCGAGATACTGCTAAACTACGTATACTACGTTGAAATCTTTTACAAAAGACTCAGACCTACATTAATAAGACAATGGCAACCTTATGTAACATGGAAGAATAACGCAGAAGGCGAGCATGTAGCCATACCAATCGAGCAGCATCATGGTAATTATAAGCTGACCCCGCAATCAACCCCACGTTTTGGGCTGCCTAGATGCGGAACATGAGGGATTCCTTCATCTCGACAGCAAGCTATTGCCAAGCAACAATGTATCACCATTCAACTAATAGCTAGACACTGGCCAAGACCGTCGAACTCTACTGATGTACCCCTAAATCCAGTGCCTGGTACAAATTAGCCTTCGTCTCTTTAGCGCTGTTGTTATTCCCTCTCTAGCTAGACATTGGCGTCAGCCGGCTGAACAATGTCCCACTCTGGGCTACCTGAAGAACCAACGCCATTTGGAGTCAGCGAGAAGAAGCAGTTATCGTATCATGCATACACTTTTGGGTGGATCTGCGCGCTTCGGTGTGAGCTCAACGGTGCAAAGGCTTGCTAGATGAGCAACATGAACAACTTCCATCGGCTGCAAGAGACGACAACAGTTATCTCCTCGGCCGGATGGCAGGACATAACGTTGTTATTGCCTTCACCGGGTCAGGTAACTATGGAACAAATGCTGCTGCACAACCCACGGTACACATGATTCGCCCTTTGCACAATATTCGATTCGGCTTGCTGGTTGGCGTGGGTGGCGGAGCCCCGAATCGACCGGATCCGCACGATCCACTCAATGATGTTCGGCTTAGAGATGTCGTTGTTGGTGTCCCAAAGGGAAATCATAGCAAGCCATTAAACTTGCCCCATTTCATGCTGATTGTTCCCGGTTGATATTAAAATTTCTCGCCATATTTTAAATTCTCCTGCAGTTGGCAATGTTGTTGCAATAGCCTTCGAAACCCTTTCAATCTCTCTGAGACTGCCTTCGGACGGCCTCAAGTCCAAATGGTTCGTATTCTTTTTAACGTTTTCGAGCTCCGTTTCGATTTTACCAAGTTTCTTCTCAATTTCTGTCGTCGGGAAATACTATGGTTTCATCACCACAAGGTAAGCAAGAAAAAAAGAAGCAGCACTAACTAGGGTCCCAAGTATTGCCTAAACAATTGCGAACCAGACAGGAAAATCCGGCTACTGCAAGTGTTATTCTTTGATCTATAATAGAATCAGGAGAAATCGCGCGCCTAGAGTCAAGGGGGTAACTGTATCGTTCTATCGTTCTGGGACAGTGAACACACAGCTTCTCAATGCAGTACTGTTCTTTTCAGGGCCACGATATCATAGTAAATAAAAGATTGCTCTTTGGGGGCTCAACTACCCACTTTTTGGAGTCGCCAGACTCCATCATGGAAGTCAGCATCATTTCGTGTAACCCCGCAAGCCGGAGGACAGAAAAACCAAGACCAGAATATTTCGAACACCTACGCCTTAAAATAATACACCTGTTCTTTAAGTATCTGGTACTATAGCTATATTTTCTCTGATATTTACTACTACACCTATATTTCTCTCATAGCTGCTAGTATATCTAAATTTCTCTAGCAACTTCTAGTATAGTTAACTACTTTTAGTATTTTCTATCATAACTGTATTTGTCTAGTATTTAGTATTGAGCTAATTAGGCGTTTACATTGCTGCATGTATGCACTTATTCATTTTATGACCTCGTTTTTTCCGACCTCCACTTGCCCCGACCCAAAAGTACATAATCACGTTGTATAGTGATTGCTACCTAAGAGCCATAGTTACTGCCTGGGTAGCAATATTATTAGTTTAAAAGAGCTAACTTTCGTTTATATATATATTGGTTTACTTGTGCCCTTGTGATTCACAGCCAACTTCAAAGGTTCTTCCTATTGAGTCATGATATCTTCAACAAACCTCAGCTGCCCTTAATGTGAAACCGAAAATAGCTCTGCCACCCTCGTGTAACTAGTTCATGACACGAGCTTTTTTCGCCTCAAAGGCCTCACATAAAAGTTGAATCGATAGAAGTGAATTACACATTTACTCCATTGTTCTGGACCAGGCAATCCGTCCGATCTTACTCAGCACTAAAGAGACTCTTTGTGAGATAAGTCACATATTCTGTCCTAGTCCCACTGGCCAAATGCGTATTTCTTTAGATCCATTGTTATCTATGGGGGAGCAAAGGCTATATAATGATCCAACTGTTTCCCGTCTTATTTAGAAAACAGAATTGTTCCTTCTATTCCTTCTATGCCGATCCCTTACTACAGATAGCTAATCATGTCAACCTTGCCCCTGTCAGCCACTGACCTGGTTTACGGATGTATTGGAGAGCATTCGCCAGGGCCATCCAGTGCGAACCACAGAGCTCACCACCTCGCCTGAGCAGAGGAAAGCAGACAACGAGTATATCCAGACTGGGCCACCGATGCTCACCTTTCTAGGCGCCGCCTTACCCAAGACAATGTATCACACATACATACATCCCTCATTAATCGCGCGCTTCACTCAAATACAGTCGGCACTGGGGAAAGTCACGATCAATATCATCGAGAGATGGTTCTCAGACGAAGCAGCAAATTTCCCATCAAGAATGCCTTTAGACGAATACGAAGAAGATGTACTTAGGGTATGAGATCTACAATGTTTCTGTCGCTCTTGTCCTCCAATCTAAACAGATGCATCAGTGGATAGCCTCGTCTGGCATTGTACCAAGATATGCTGGGAGACAAGGATGTTCACGCCCGGATTTTTTATTTTCGGCCACTTCCAAGAACCCATGTGAACCCATCATTTGTGAGATCAATGCTCGTTTCCCATATAACTCCTGGTTCTATATTGAGGCTGCGACTGAACCATTTGAGAGGGCTGGCCTCCAGAAGTCTGGGCTGAAGACAGGCCACGATTCCGTGGTAAGCATATACAGAGTCCCGAAATAGTTCTTCGACATCATCTTATTGTGGTTCTTATGCGTAGGCTTTCGGCGATGCCGTTGTGAGCCTCTTTGACTCATCGCATCCTGGCCATATTCTGCTTGGGAAACAATGGATAGGATTTGACATCCATTTGCTCCCAGACATCTTTAAACAGAGGACCGGGCAAGAGATGCGGATAATCTCACCATCTGACCTAAGGCTTACAGAAGATTCGAACTCACCTACTGGTTACCATCTTTCGTGCGCCGTCAAGGATAGCGAAGAACTGGAGCGAGTGTGGCAGATCAGCATAGATATGGTACAGGCCGAGATTCGAGAATTTCCTCCAGAGATATTGCGCGAGATTGCTCGCGTTTGCACCAACGATCTACGATCCATCTTTTTGCTCCATGACAAGCGTTTCTTGGGCATTATACTCGAAGAACTCGATGAATTATTGGAGGCAGGAGTAATGAATGCCATGGAAACTCAGTTGTTAAAGGAGAGTATTGCGCCCACTTATGTCCCAGGTTCAGCCGGTTGGCATGCAGCGATTTCTTCACCAAATAGCAAGGAAGAACTGGTGCTGAAAGATGCTCGCGGCGGAATTGGAAGGGGCCATACATTTGGACACAACGTGACACAAGAAATATGGGACGAGCGTCTGCGGGCGGTTGGCGACGGCAAGCTTGTTGACGGCAAGGCCATCGTACTCCAAAAGAAGGTTGACCAGGTTTCCTTTGACATTTTAAACCTAGCTGGAGACACTTTCCAGAAGCTGTACCTTATTGGCGCATGGGCAGCCGTAAATGGTCAATATCTTGGCGTAACTTCGATGAGGGTCGGCAACGATTTGGGGTGTGTGCCACCACCAGACGGTGGCATGGCCATTCTTTCTGTCACATCTTCTTCATAGGTCATGGTTCCAAACCTAAATGAATGACATACAAAAACTCTTGCAGGACAGTGCATTATCGCTTTAACGTCATTTACTACTGGAGTATGGTGTAGGATAATCATCAGTTGTACATATACAAGATATAGTAGATATTTGTACAATTGAAGTTGGATCGTGAAATACAAGACAAAGTTGGCCTTATAAACGCTGCATTAACAGTGGCTCAGAGTGTGCCATGATTCAGTGAATGTAAAATAAGCTTATTCTGGTCTATGGGGCTTTTGGTATTGGAGTTCGGGATTGAAGTGCTTAGATCAAAATTATGCTCTAATAGAGTGGAGGCAACAAGTAGGTTGTGTTGACATTCAGAATGCGGAAAAGATTTCCCGAACCAGATGTACTAGAACGGTATCAGCCTCACAGAAGTCTTAAATGTAAAGCTTTCTGAGTCGAAGCTTCAACAACTTGTCCCAAGCTCGACAGGCGGCGTCGTGAAGTTGACACAACAGACCAGCAAATGAAGCAGCAATGAGAGAAGCTTCTAGTGTCATGTGAGGCCTACAAGAGGATGCGGAATGCGTCACTTTTATTCGAAACATGACTGTGCTTGCTTCTCTATGGACAGATATCACTAGCCGGTACAGTAGTATTCATATGGTTGACTGCTGGTAGATACCAACAGTTGTGTAGTTTCTGGTGAACTTGATTTGTATTCGGCTTTTGTGTCAACCATTTGGTAAGCGAGACTTCACGACCAACATGATGATTGACGCGTTGTGCCGTAACACCGCTTGACTTCACGCTCGCTAGACAGTACATGTGAAATGATTGTCTTATTGCAGAGTCTGTTGTCACCGCGATAAGTTGCCATAGCAATTGTTGGACATCGTAAGATGGAGGAGCTATCGAGAGGGGGGAAAAAGGAAACTGGAGCGCGCGTGGCGGATGGGGGGCATTGGTACTCGGATATATGCTTTGTGTTCTCACGTTGTCGAAGCGCATAGGATACGAAAATTACGATGCTCAAAGTGTCTTGAGCATGCAGTCGGTGCAATTACTTTCAAACTAATCACTAAAGCTAACACTAACAGGTAACCCTGGAAATATTCTTCATAAGCAAAAGGCCAGTGTCGACCGAATTGATTCATCAGAGTCACCAACGTAACCGTTATCCCCACATGAAGCTTTTTTGAAGGTCCGAGACATCCTTAGATCAGTGCGGATTACGTCTACTTAGAGTTGGATGTGGAGCCATTTTAACCCCTCTTTTTAATCGGTTCTATATAAAGCCTAGTATGCCTAATAGGAGCTTATTACATTTCAAGTAGTTATTGCCCTTGAGTATTCCTGTTCCGTTGAATTTACAGTTCAATCCAGCCATAGCGTCACAAGTGTCATAATGGATCAATAACTCTTTTCAATTACTTCGATGAACCTTTCAGGGTACTATTCTTTCAGGATGACGATGACACCGGATCCAAAGGTTTCGTTGATAACTTTGCAAAGGACTTCACTGAAAGGTATTATTATTCAAGATATTACAATTGGCTGTCTGTTACTGAGAATATGTAGCATTAATAGTCAGCATTTAGACTACAATGCATTCCAAAATGCTTGTATTGTAGCTCGTAGAGAGTGGATCATGTCTTTACAAAGTCATGAAGCCCTGGTCACTTCTTTTGAAGATGCACAGGGCGAAATATATCCACACGACAAAGGGCCAAATGTTGTGGCTACAAAGTCGTTCTGGTCTTTTGAGGAAAAGACTACTAGAAAAAAGACGCATTGCGAAACAGTTATAATATATCACTAAATTAGGGGAGGATGGGATAAGGAGAGTTGCGCAATGGACAGAGGTTACGCGAGATCTGGAATAGCAACGTAATATATGTATATAGATCTATTATTATCTCAAAGTATCACTTGACCTTACTTTGATTTCTTTTCTATTCATTGGTGGCAATTAGCGATTGAATGACATTATATTGGGCGATAACAATACGCACTAACGTCTAATATCGAGCATAGTCAGCAATAGTAGTTTAGTATGTTTTTAGTCATATGTTATAACGAGGCGAGGAGCTAAGGGATCTTTACCTGCCTAGTAGCAGTAATACCGGACGGCTAGAAAATATGAGTAAATACCATCTCTGTTTCAGTGAAGAACCATGTGGAATCTAATATGTTAACTCTTGGCGGTTGTATAAGGAGACCGGAGCCAGAAATAGCTGTTAAAGAACTCATGCTTTGAAAGCTTTATCATACAACTACGTTACGAGTGAGCAGCTGAGTCATAAGAAAATGATTAGCGATTGTGACCCAATGACTATTCAGGTGTTAGTTTCAATACTACTCAGCTCTTAACCGTAGTATTCACTGAAATAGTCCATCGACATTGTATTCTCGGTGTACACATAAGTGAATCCCTCAAAATAAGGGGTAAATGTTACAGTTTAAAGATGCAATGCGTTGATAATAAGCCTTCAGTAATGAGAAATGCGGTTAATTGTATCATAGACGTATCTTCATTATTTCTTGCCGTCTTCATTAGACAATCGAGATTTCAGACACTGTAAGTGGAGCAGCTTTATACTCCAATATAAGTTGATTAGTGTCATGTACTCACACATAAGACCATGGATAGAGAAGAATCTGCGGTCCCATCAAATCTTTTATTAAGTTTAGGGGTCTGCTATCTTAGGAGGTTCGAAGCTCTAATTCGGAGTCACCAAGTTTCGGTTTAGGAGCAACTGAACTGATAGTATAGATACATAATCGTCTTCTATCCTACACGCTCTAGTATCTTAGCGATTCTCTCATGCCCTTTCCGTCTTGCATAAATAGCTGCCGTATCTCCATTCTAATCCACCAATCGTGGATCTGCACCAGCTTCCATTAGAGTTATCACAATCCGCTCAAAGCCACGTCCGAATGCGAAAAAAAGAGGCAACGTTCCAAAATCTATCCTCAAGTTAATATTTACATCTCCTCTTTACGCTAGAATTTTAACGACTTCCTCGCGTCCGTAAGCCGCTGCGGCACCTAACGGTATTCGCCCCCAACTATCACCTAGATCTGGATTTACTCCTTGATCTATCAACTATTCAATAATCTAAACATCTCCGTCGCATGCCGCTTAATAGAACTTCGAGACGTGGTACCATATATGCCAATTAGACATAACCAGATTCCGCTGGGCCAAAACATTAAGAATATTAACTAGACCACATATTGCTGCGGTTTTAATAACATCCTCTATAATTATAATCTAGTCTCCGCATCGGTTCAGGAGTACCGTCATTATCTTCTCACCACTGATCTCGTTTTCTGCTACAGCTATAAGAATATCCTCTGTAATAGTAATCCGGTTCCCATATTGGTCAAGAAGCAGCGCCATTACTCCATCACCAAAGATACTGCTCGCTGCAGCTTTTACAATGTCTTCTGTAATAACAATCTGGTCTCTTCGCCGGTTAAAGAGCAGTGCTATTACTGGGTTATTACCACTTCCTGCTGCATCTTTCATAATGTCTTCTGTAATAACAATCTGGTCTCCTCGCCGGTCAAGGAGCAGCGCCATTACT